ATTTTATGCTCATTTTGTTTATATGCATTTGTAAATATGGAACATTTGATATGTAACGTTTGTTATTCTACAAAATCTTCAATCTTTGTTTTCTTTTTAATATTTATATCGAATTGAAGAAGTATATGTTCATATCTTGCATCTGTTAAGTATGTTTCGTTGTATAATTTTTTATAATTCTTAATGTTATTATCTACACAGGTTGTATAAATTTTATGTTTTCTTATTCGATTTTCGTTATAATACTGTATAGGAAATTAAATTCTTTTTTACTCAGTACGTGTATATCTTTTACATCCACTTGCAGCAATTCAGTGTGTTGAATATAGATTCAGCTTCTTCTACTAAATTTCTATTTTGCTTTGAAACACATTTTTCATTTCTGCGTATCAATTTGGTCATTGGTACAGAATAAATATATATATTTATTCTATAAAGTAAATGTCCCAATGATCAAACATTTTTCTAAATTCGGGCCTTTACGTAAAGCTTCACTTGTTTATATTATTATTAATTTTAAATGTTAAATTAATTTTAATATTGTGCGTGCGCGCGCGTGTGTGTGTGTGTGCGCGTGGGATCTTTGATTACAGTCACATTCTAATATTGTAATAAGACAAGCATTTTAAAGAGAAAGGTTTATAATTATAAATTTTATTTCAGTATCTCTGGACATAACTACATGTGTAGTCATTGAGACATTTACTTTATGTGATAAGTTATTGTGACATGTTGCAAAAATTCAGTTGTATTTTTTATATTAAAAATGCAAATCAATTAGTCCATTTTCATCTTTTTGTCAATTATATTTGAATAAATGTAGCATAACTTAGTAATTCCGATTTCAGTTAAACATATACGGATATCCAAATAAACATATAAAACTTTCAATAAGTAAAACGATAAAATATCATATAAATAAACAAAAATTGTATTGCTCAAATACTATTTTAACTTCATTGCGTACACTATAAAAATGAATAATTTTAATTAAATAATTTTACTTAAAATTCTGAGACATGCATAAATGTTGCAATTATCACAAAAATATTAATACAAATTTTGATATTTCTTAATATCTCGAAAGCTCCATACGTCATTAAGTTATTATTAATATTTCGTTTTTTACAATGTAAATATAGTTATTAGCATAGTTGTAAGAATTAAGTGGGTTTCATTCATGTATTCCAACATACTCCAATGCTTCTATAACATCCCATTCTTTTCTATTGTGACTCTTACTCTTTTAAACGAACGCATTGGATGAGCAACGTATATTATATCGACTAGAACTTTCCTCGGATAGAACATTTTGTGCATCTGCATTTGTGTATGCTTTTTCTCTTTGTGAGTACAGAAAGTGCAACGTAGAGCAGCTATTAAGAAGAACCTCCAACCTTAAGCACGTTTATAAATTGAAGGCTATACGAAAGACGTGGAAAGGCGTGTAAATAAATATAGCACAGTATTTTTTGATGTGAAAGTTAATTTAATGTGTAAATATTTTCCGATAAATTAATCTGAAATATTAGTGTGTAATACAGTGGTGATACAATTTTTCATTCAGCTTGATAACATCACATATTTGATAGGTTAATGATTTCAACATTTACTTCATCTGAAAAGTATTCATTTTTGTGTTTGATTAAAAAATGGAAAAATTAAGGAGAGCTTTGAATGGTAACGAACGATGCGATGAAGAAAGTGGTATAATTACGCAGGTAATTACGTACAATAAGCTGCATTACTGATTGAAATATATCAATAATTGATTATATGTATTATAATCTTATTTCATTTGTAAATTGATATTATCACTTTAATAAATGCTCACATGTGATCGACAATGGAAGGTTGATGCTGATTTTATGGTAAATTGTTAAAGAATTATTTTAGAGATTTATTTTACTTGTAGTACCACTATTGTTATGTATATTTTTACATTATGTACAATATGTTACGTAACTTTATTTGAAAAAATTATTGACATTTTTCATGATTAACAGGTTATGGATCAAACAACATTAAGTTGGTCTACCAGGATAAAAGGTTTTGCTATTTGTTTCATCGTTGGCATATTATGTTCATTCCTTGGATCCTTTGCATTGTTTTTACAGAAAGGTCTTGCCGTATTTGCTGTATTTTATACTTTGGGCAACATTATCTCTTTAGCCAGGTAAAATATATGATATACTTGTCAGTAATTTAATTTTTTTATTTATCACAAAAAATTTATCTAGAAGAATATTTCTAGAAAATATACTCTTCTACACTAAAAATACTCTTTCACACTAGGGGCAGAATTCATACATGAAAATAAATGAAATTTTTCATCATAAATACAGGAAGGATTATAGTATGCTGATTTTCATTCATACAGTTGTGTTTGCAATAAGAAAATAAACATTTAGGACAATTATTGAATTAATGCAAATGACGATAATTGCAGGATAAACACAAATTAAAAATATCATAAACATGAAAATTATCACTAAAATTACATTGATACATGCATATATTAAAAGTTACACACTAACATTTTTTCACTAACTATGACATAGTATTCCTTATCATATATATATATACCATATACTCGTGATGCTGTCAAAAAAACAGTGGAAGCCTGTATTACATGAAAAGAGCAATTATCTTTTTTTTCTTTGAATAATATCTCATTGAAATACGTTGCGTTATAATGCGTATGTTTATATGTTTAATAGTTTCAATAATAGTTTTAACAATAATGCTAATCCATATAAGCACTAATATTAATCTTAAGTATAATACTAGTATTAATATTTTAAGTACAGAATTACAGAATTACATTGACTTTTATCATATAATTTTAATATTTATATAATAAATTTAATATTATAATAGTTTAATATTATAGTATATATTTAATATTATAGTAGTTTATATAATGTTTATAGTAGTTGTATAAATACACTTACAAAATATTTGAATAATTATCAATCTGTTTCAGTACGTGTTTCTTGATGGGTCCATTTCATCAATTTAAGAAGATGTTTGCATCGACAAGAATAATTGCAACTATATTAGTATTTGTCTCAATTATTTTGACACTTTTTGCAGCTTTACATGTAAGTACTTGATATTTTTTGTTTTTTATATATTCTTAATACTTTGAATATTTATTACACTTTTGTTTTCAGTTGCACAATCCTGGTCTAGCTCTTCTTTTTATAATCATTCAGTCACTAGCTATGACATGGTATTCCTTATCATATATACCATATGCTCGTGATGCTGTCAAAAAGACAGTGGAAGCCTGTGTTACATAAAAAGAGCAATTATCTTTTTTTTTCGTTATATCTAAATTTGTAAGAAATATCATTTAATTTTTTTAATATTTTAAAGTTTCAGTCATTTTGTAACACTGAATATTGATTATATTTTATATTTATAACAAGTAAATAGATTAAAACGTTCTATAAATTAATTGTAATATAAATAAGTATAATTATTGGTAATATTATTTGTAATTATAAGAAAAATAACAATATTGTGTTTTTCTTGTGTAATAAATAATATATTTACTTTGATATTGTAAAGCTAACGAATTCTATTCTACATTATTTTTATTAGAAATAAGTTGTCTATGTAATTAACACATTTAAAATGATGATATATTGTTATATCTTCAGCATTTATTGTTTTTAACATTTTGATAAAAATTTTTATACACAAGGTTGAGTAAGTTAATGTTTTTAAAATTAAATTAAGTTAAAGTAAATAGCTTATAAAATAAATAAAATTAAGTTAAAAGTTAAAGGAATAAAAAATTAATAAAAGTTAATAAAAGTTAAGATTGAATTAACTTAATATACTATTAACTTAATATACTTTTATTATATTGTTTTAATGAATATTCTTTTACAAGCTATTTAATATTTATTAAATAATTATGTTTTCAATCTAAATTTATTCTTTTAATATTTTTAATACTTCTTTAATAAAGTTGAAATGAAATACTAAAACATATACAAAGAAATTACTTACAAAGTAAATATATATTTGCAAGTATAATAAAAATAGAAGCTATGAAGAATACGTTCATACTTCAGCATAGTTTGTTGACTAAATGCATCGCTTGTTGAGATATTTACAAGTAATACTTTCTATTTAGTTAATCTAGTTGACACAAGTTAACACGATTGTTATACGATCTTTCTTAGCATGAATAACGAAGACATCGGTATTTCTGCTGATTTGTGTCATTAAATGGAAAGTACAAAGGCCAATATTCTGTACATAATTGAAATCGTACAGAATCATATATTTGGACAGGAAAAGTTTTGTATACTTTGTATACAAACTCAGTTTAATATTTAAAATTATAAATATTAGAAGACAGCCTCCTATTACAAGATAAGCCTAATATAAGATAGCATTTTTGCTAAACTAATAAATGCTATCTGTTGATTCCTGAATTTGTTATTCTTAGGTTGAAAATTATATAGTGAAAAATGCATTATTATTTGGTGCTTGTAATCGTAAAAGATTTTAGAATTTAGATGTTTTCAAGTTTTATTGAGATGAATCTTTAAACCTTGTTTATTATTTAATAAATAAATATTTGGCAATAAATGCTTCATGTAGTAGATAGAGATTATTTTTCAGTTTAAGAGCAAATAGTTCGTATCTATTAATAATTAAATTTTAGACAAATTTAGTATTTTCTCTTGAATTAATTCTATTATTTCAGTTAAGTTAATGACATTGAGAAAAATCAGTGGCGATTTATAATATAGAAATGAAAATAACTCAAATTCAATATAATTTAGCATTATGGATTTAAGAATATATTCTATTAGATATGTTTTAGGTTACTTGTATGTATAATGTCAATTGAAAATGTTTTATAAAGTATTTTCTATTTTATGTGCTAAATGCATATATGCAGTATTTATTTTGTAGGACATTTATAGTATAATAAACTTCAAGTATTCGCTTTTGCTTATAAAATAAAAAAATAATTAAGAAAACTTTTTCTAGCCTACTCTACCTATGGCGTTAGTATATGTGTGTAAATATCCTAATGCATAAATGGATAATATAATTGTTTTATAATATCCCAATTTTTTACATAATGATTCGATGAAAATTATGTAAATATTCGAACTTTCATGAGAGCTAGTAAAATTACGTACAGAATAATTAAAATTCTATAAAATCTTGTTGTAATTATTTACCAGTTTACGTAACCCCTTATCAAGATTATAATTGGACAATTTATGAAGAACTACTGTCTCTGCTACTGTCTCGTTTATGAAATTGAAATTGTTTTTGAACTCTGAAATTGTTTTTAAACAATACGAAATAATAAAATTTTAATAAAATTGGACATTTTGCACTCAAAAAGTTGCGTCATTTGGAAGAAAACTTCAAAATATGTAATTTTAATATTGCAAAATTGTTGTTAGTGCTTATAATTATAATTACTAATATCTAATTTTACTGTATCTTATAGTAAATAATTTGACATGTAATTCAATATGAGAAATAAGATATTATACAGAATGAAATTAATACAACTCCCGTACATTTGTCCCACTATTTGTTCCTATTATATAATAATGGGTCAATATATTTCTCCATGATATAATATCTTAAAAACATTTCCTTTTTATTTTAGATAATTATATCCGTGAAATCTCACACATGCGGACACTATCTGTATATACATCTTCTGGATATCCGTTCTGGATAATTGAGATCATTCACGGATATCACAAGATTATCGCGATATCTCAAAATGATGTCCGTTAGACATTTCTAGAATAAAGTGTGAGGAATGACTTTTTTGTCCTTTAAACTTTTATCTTGCAGTAGTATTTGCTGCACAAGTACACTACTCGTGTAATCATTGACAATTCCAAAACTCTTCCTACTTCACTAGCAGTTTTATTCCCGGTTCGTATTTCATTAAAAATTCATAAATGATCACGCCTTGTAAGTTTTATACTACCACATATGCATAATTTTTTTATATATTTTTACTATAGTTTTTATGCAATCTCAAAATATTATGTTTAGAATTACTAGATCTATCATTTTTTGATGACCTCTCGAATGTATCCAAGTGTCCATATTATTTTCCAATATTTTTAAGTACGTATACTGACAGTTGAAATTTTTAAAAAGATCCATAACATTTGAATATTGGATACTTTATTTAATTTGCGAGATATAAGGCGCAGTTTAGGTGGACGTGCTTGTAAAGACATCGTAATTGTTATAATCAAATCATAAAAACATATAAAGGAAGTAACAACAAAAGATATATTTTTCGTAGAATGCGATTTACAATATAATATAATATAATATAATATAATATATACAATATAATGTTTTCATTTTTGCACTAAAAATTCATTTTTATATAAAAATTAAAATAAGAGAAACAATCTCCACTGATAAACCTTGATTTTAACAAATTATTCAGGACATGATCCTGAATGACATTCAAGAGACCGTCAGTCGAACACTTTGCGTAATATCGGCTAATATCGGCGGTACTTTCAAGCTTTATATTACAATTCGAAAAGTACTTTATGAAAAATTATTTTATTATAGTGTTTTGGAAAGCTCTTGAGGTGTGTTATAAGAATATGCCATGAAAAAGGGAATTTTAATTTTCCATTAAAAAAATTTAAAGTGATATTATCCTTGGTGACGCCCAAAGTCAGACTGATCAGACCACTAAATAGATCATTTAGAACCTCATAACTTTTGTCTGAAATGTTTTTTTCTAAAATGCTCTATTTCCGAAATAAAAGGAATATACGGGTGGTCTGATTTTGTATACCCACATAGCATGTAATATGTAATAATCTTGCACTAAAATTACAAATTTGCTGTAATATTGCATAGTATTATAATATGTCAATAACACTGTATAAATATCGCTACAAATTTAAATGTCCGCGGCAAATTAATCACAGAAATATTTCTGTGATACTTTTGCAATATTACAGTAACACTAGGCAATATATTTAGAAATATTTCTACTTATTATAACATAAAATAATATCAAGATTATACGTTGATTTCCTCCATGTCCAAATCTAATCTTGGAATGCCAATATTTCATGAACCTTGTAGTTCACTTCATCAGGGTGAGAAGCAACCTGATACTGAGCTGTTCTTTCGGGCCGTTCCTTTTATATTGCGGTACTTGTTGGAGTGATAAGGGAAAAGAAGAGAATTGTAGACGGAGAGAAGTGGAAGAAAATGGTCGGTCTTCATTAACCGGGAGAAGGGTGTTTCATATTTTATTTATGTTGTAGCCATTATCTCTATTTAGATTGTTAAGGTGTATCTCTATGACTTTCTTGGAAAGTATGATGTAATGTTGGCTATTGTGGTCATTTTGTCAAACAATATTTGATGTTCTGTTTTGATGTTATGTTCTGATAATGCTGACTGGCGTGTTTTAGCCTAACATCACATTTCTTTTATCCATAGGTTGACCATTCTCCCGGTTTCTCTAATGTATATTTGTCCGCAGAAACAAGATATTTTGTATACTCCTGCAGAGTTGAGTGGAAGTCTTTGATCTTTTCTTAGGATTTCTTAAGATTTGTCTTATTTTTTTGGGTGGTTTAAAGATAATTCGGATTACGTTTGTTTAATATCCTGCCAATCTGATCTGTTGTTTCTTTGACATATAAGAAAATGGATAGAATTCTTTCATCTGGTTGTATTAGTTTGTTTATTAATTTGTTTTGATTATGTCTTTTTTGTCGTGTCCGTTTTCCTGTAAGATTAGTTTTAAGTGATTGAATTCTGTATGTACATGTTCTTTGAAAATGGTGAAAGCTCTATATACAAGTGAGTTGATTGCAAACTGTTTTTTTGTGCTAGATGATGGTGCGACTCGGCATATAGGTTTCGATCTGTATGTGTTGGTTTTTTGTACATTTGATAGCCTAAGATATCGTTACCTTTCTTAGAGACAAGAACATCTAGAAAGGAGAGTTTTCTGTTTTCTTTTATATCTATAGTGAAGTGGATATTTGGATGTAGATTGTTGAGGAAAATAAGGAATTTACGGAGTTCGGTTCTGCTGTGTCTCCATATCACGAATGTGTCGTCTACATAACGGAATAAAATTTCTGGTTTTTTAGGTGTTTTTCTCTCATCTCCCCTCCCCCAACCACCTCAATTTTCCCCATCTCTCCCCTCATCCACAATTCTTTTCTTCCCCCCCCTCCCCCACCGCTCCAACAAATAGCGCAATATAAAAGGAACGGCCTAGAGGAACAGTATCACGCTTCTCATTCTGATGAAGTGGATTTTAAGGTTCACCAAACGTTGGCATTCCAAGAATGGATCTGGACACGGAGGAAACCTGCGAAACGCATAATCTTTATATAGAAAGTACCCGTGGAACCCTCAAAAATATTATAAAATAATATCAATACTTTTCGCTCGAATAACTTACAACAAAATTAATAAACAGTAAACCCAGACATATTCATTAAATGAGTTAAAATTAGGTGTAACAAATAATATTTATTATTCACAAATTATAATTTTT